ATAGTGTGGTTAGATTACCTATGTTGTAAGTTGCTTTTAAATATATATGTTGTTGAGAGGTATGTAATACATGTATTGTTTGTTGTTATGTTGAATATGGTGACTATTATTATGAGTTGTTTATTTTTCTCTAGCTTACCCTTGCATGTTTGCATGTGATTTGGTAAAATCCTACGAAATCCTAAACCAATACACCCCCTAAGATATTACTTAAAGATTTGAAATTAAGATATTACTTAAAGAGACCGAGTTCAGTAATATTTAAACCAACAACACATTGATAAAAATAGGTTATATGTCTCATGATTACCATTTGTGTAAGAAAAATGCTAGAACTTACTTTTATAATTAAATACACCTTATGTAATAATTCTCTTTATTAATTTTATAAAATTTATTAAATTTTAACAAATGAAAATGAGCATATTAAAAAAATTGTGTTAGAGAGTATATTTCAAATGCTCGTGTTCTATTAATAATATTGCATAGGCAAAGAAAGAGCATAGAAGGACGAATTGCACAAATATCTCCAACAACTATAACTTTTAGTATGTCTTGGTTCGTTTGTCTCTAGTGCGACTTTTATTTAAAGGATTATGTTCATATGAACGAGTTTTCAAAGAGAAGCACAAAACAAAGGATATATAGACACTGTCTAAACTGAAAAGGAAACGTCCCCTTCATGTCTTTGTCATTCATTCTATGCATCACATCTTGCTTTCTTCACAAGAACGTTTCAATCAACTTATTTTTAACAAATATATTTGAATCTGATCAATAAGTATATTCTTTTAAGATTGTGTAACAAAAATTATAGAGATTTCGTAAAAAAAGTAGAAATTGAGCTTTATTTGTGTTTTGTTTTAATAATAAGAAATATGATTTTTTTAATGAAAAAGAGAAGTTAAAATTATGATGGAAATTACAGAGTGTAATCATTAAAAATTGTGAATCAATTATTTTGATGTGCGTTAATATGACCACGTCCACAGAAGAGAAGTGTGTTGATGACCACAAACGAAGCTTTTATGAGACAAAAAATGTGGCTTTTCTAATGTCTCTTTCAGTGATTATAGAAGCAGTAGCACTGCCTTGTCTCCTTGTATTTCACACACAGGCATAAAAAAACACGAACGGATTATACAATCAATTTTGCAACCCACTTCCAGAAAAGTATTAGTACAACTCATGCTCATGTTTCAGTGTTGTAAACCAACGGGACCAAAACAAAGGACTCAACTCACCTTGAAATTGTGTTAACTATTGGATCAATTTAGGTAGCTTTTCGGATTTTTCATGTTTATTTTGAAGGTTTAAATATATTTTTAATTCTTATAAAGTTGATGATTTTGATTTTAATCTTTTTTAAAAAAATTCTTTATTTTTTATCTTTCTAACTTTATAAATATTATTTTTTGTCCTTTTAAAATAAATAAATTTTGATTTTAATCATTATAAAATATTTTTCTTTGATTTTCATCCCTCTAAAATCTAAACTAACTATTTTTAGTTCCTATTCCTAATGATCATTTTAATATGGACAAATGATATTTAGTTTAAAGATCTATAAATTTTGTAGAGATGTTAAATATCAATATAATATCAATAATGACCGTAAGTAACATTTAAGATAGTTACTTAACTTTTTAATAAATAAAAAGAAGTTAAAAAATGATCACATAAAAATAGGGACTAAAAACAATAGTTTCAATTTTATAAGAATGAAAAACAAAGAAAATTTTTTATAATGACTAAAATCAAACTTGTTAATTTTATAGGGACTAAAAATATATTTAAACTTATTTTTAATCTCTTATTCTACAACTTAGAACTCGAAAATAGATAGTGAGTTATTTTCTTCTTCTTTTGAACTAAGTATCTTTTATCAAGAAAATTAAATATAACTTTTTTAAAATATAATATCTTTTACATAGACTTACAATTACAAACAATTATGTGTGTGTGAGGAAGTTCAAATGACACTAATATAACTTTTATCAACTATTACAAAACCTAGTAAACAACTTTATATCAAATGTGAATTTTGTTAATCCGCTCGTTAAATTATAACTTCATATCACCTTGTATGTTTATATTAAATTTCGTTAAAATTAAATAACAATTTGGAGGTAATCAAAATATTCATATTTTAGTATATTTTAAAATAAATATATTATATCAATTTTATTATAAAAGAACGAGATATTAAATCATCTTAAATTAATATAAAATTTTACACACACACACACACACACAAAATTA